GGAGGAGTAGTTCATTACTCCTAAAGAAATTCTTTTTTTCCAGCAAGTAACACGTACAAGCGTTTCTCAGCCTTATACTACTCCTCCAAGAGCGATCGTGTTTTTTGTGGAATATTGCTAACTCTGGATCAACAATAGCTACGTTTTTTGGCTGTGAGTGCCTGGTGTTCGAAAATTCGGCAGACCTGATTGCCTATATGTTAGACAGTTACGATTTTTACGATTTCGTAGGCCTGTGCTTAGCCTGGGAGAACGAAAAACTAAGTCAACTTTTTTTGGTTACACCTCCACCTCTGCCAGAAGAACAACTGAATATTCATGAAAAGGATACAATGAAAATAAAAGGGTTGTCATTGAGGACGTCGCGAAGCCAGAGTCTAACTAAGCGCAGGTTGGACAACGAGTCACACACTAGAAGGAAGAGAGTTTGAGGAAACCGCTCTCAAGCGGCTGAAATTACTGACTGAAACTAATTCTAGCTGTCGAGAGGCTCAGGGAAAGGCTTCTGAATGTCACAAAACGTCACGTTTAGCGTTATCGCACGAAACTGAGAGGAAGCACTGTGCGTGGCGCAATCCAAACATTCTCCTAGACACAGACAAGGCGGTCCATTCTCTCCTGCGTTGGTGCTTATCAAACGTCTGACTCGAAATTAACTCCTGTAGTCCCGATATTATTGTGATTGAGAACTTTTGCAGTGATGTAGCCTTGTATTCCTTACGCTTCCCTTATGCAACGTCATAAATAAATCACTGACAAAATAAAGAACATCTTTTGGCCCTGATAAACCAGCTTCGGCGGATGTTGGGGAATGCACCCCACATTGAACATCCATTCAGAATCGTAGAGGTTATTTGAATGATATATGGCCTATACAATGGCCAGCTGATATAGAAGTCAGGGTTTTTATCTTCCTAGACGAATTTGATATCAACTAGCTGACCTGGGGAGGGTGGATGGCTTGATAGATCTGGGCGAATATCGATCCGTGTTTCGATCCGTGGACCGCACAAATGACGATGCGCCTCTTGCCACTTCACCACCTCATTGTCAATGAATGAATCCAATACAGTTTGGTTGAACCTTCCACTGCTCTTAAATGATTTCATCACAATTCCAAATTGTGCTATGTGCCAAAACAAAACTGTTTACAGCGTTCACTCCTTATCTCGACCCTTCAAAGTGAACACGTGCTTTGTGCTCATAAAGGTTTACCCTCTATTCGGTATGACCGCTTTGCCTTATCAAACGGCAGTGCGTCATGAATGGTTCCCATTCTCCCAAGGTGCATTCGATTTCAATTCAATTTTTCAATAAAGGTTTATTTTTTACTGCAATTTTATTTCCATTTCAGTTTAAATGTCCGTAAATAGAGCTATTTGAACATTTTGAAGCGAATAATATAATACTTAATCTGCTTCATGTTTTGATAGCGTTCCATCTTCCTTACGCGTACTCTTCTAGATAGTTTTCAGCCGTAACTCTCGCTACTGACTAGAATCCGACAAAATCACCCTCCTTTGCGATTTCATTTGTCATTCAGACTTACTGATCAGGAGATCTTCCGGTTAGAAATTAGGAAACCTCAAGTTTTGTCAAATTTGTTGTTTCCCTTCTTTTCTTCCCAAACTTCCTTCGATTTCTTAGCACCCTTGCAGGTCTCCAAGGCTTCAAGGTTCTGCAAAAACAGCTAAACAAACTGCTGAACTACGTTTGAAGGAGGCAGAAGTGATTCTTATTCTTCACCGCTCTCTACCCTCCCCCCTTCCCTCATCCGAAACCGGGAGTGCATAGACAACTGTCTCTGAAAGGCTATGAAAGTGTGAATGCTGGAATTTTGAGTAATGCATTACTAGTTGATAAGCCTATGTATAACCTACCTCCTGAAAATGTATGAAGACACTTCAGCGAAGCAATACCTCGAGCATCTTAACAACTTATCCTAATGGTGAGGCTTATGAGCTGGAGGGGTTAGAACAAATTTCTTGAGAATCGCTTAAACTTATATCCAGAACGACCTCAACCTCTTGTCAGATAGGTAATTGCTGCCGATTTCTGTCGCTGATTCAACGACGCAAACTCGCTCCTATTGTGCATTACCGCTCTTATTCAGGCCTAGCTAGGAAAAGGACTATGATAAATGATGTCTCTGCCCACTCACTCATGCTGTGCAGAATGACCCTCGGGGAGAATCGACCAAACAATTCCCAACTTTGGTGTAGGTCATCAAGTGGAGTGGAGCAAAATACTGGCTCATGCATTACTCATTGACGAGGCACTCGATAGTATGGATGGGCATTGAAGTTTTAAGATCACAAAAGGAGATTGGATGCGGTAAATACTCCCCATCCTTGAACGGGTTCGGTTTGAGCCTTTCAGCTGCCACAGGCATTTTTCAGATATTAAAAAGATTAATTGTCAATTTTTCGTGTTCAAATGTTTCAGTCTATTTGTTCGTTGAGTTTGTGTCAGTACTATCGCTGACATTTCCTGGCCCAATTTCTGGTCCTTCGTCCACAATGATCGTTTTATTGGCAAATTTTTCGCATAACTATGTGCTTACAGAAATTCAAATCAATATTTTAAGGTTATGCTCAGCTGCCACAGGCATTTTTTCAGATATTAAAAAGATTAATTGTCAATTTTTCGTGTTCAAATGTTTCAGTCTATTTGTTCGTTGAGTTTGTGTCAGTACTATCGCTGACATTTCCTGGCCCAATTTCTGGTCCTTCGTCCACAATGATCGTTTTATTGGCAAATTTTTCGCATAACTATGTGCTTACAGAAATTCAAATCAATATTTTAAGGTTATGCTACTTTGGGTTCTTGCCATTTTTCTATCAGTAACTGCCCGACAGTACCTTCCAATAAATCGTATTCCTAAATGGAAAACAGTAGATCCCAATTATGGACCGGATTACGGGCAACCGGAACAGATTCATCTGTCTATGGGAGGTGAAGTTTGTTGATTTCTTTGTTTTACCAGCTAGATTTGTTCCCTGAAGTCTAGCAGTTACCGAAAATTTATTCTATTTAAGCCTCACCAACAGAAATGGTGATCACCTGGCTAACATTTGATGATACGGAGAAGTCATTAGTACACTACGGACTGATTACTGATAAGAAGTTAGATCAGGTAAGAAATTCTGTCAACAAAGAGTTTTTTTAATTTAATTACATTTATGTAGCTTCTGCTTAGACCCATTTGTTAGAAAAAAGGAATTATCGCTACCATCCCCCTTTCTCCGATTTGACTAGGATCGTCCTAATAGGGATATCTTCGTAATGAATCTGCAACGAACTTGAAAAGTTCGTATGCCCTTTACCAATCGATTTTCCCATTATCGTCATGGTTAGAATCGATAGTTCCGGGTACTCTAAAATCTTGTAACGCTGATGGTAGTAAACAGTAGGAAACTCAAGTGTGGGCAACCGTGAAGCTAAAGGTAATAACAGTTGCAACTCTTGATGGGTATGTGCTTACCAGATATCTTTCCACTTACCCCATGTGAGAAGTAAAATTTTGAACGATTGCCTCCTGGGTCATCAGAAGTTTTAACGTGAGTGCTTCGCTTGGAATTCTCGGTGCACTGCACAAAACCATGGGTAGCATTTGCCGTAGTGACCGATACCTGGTTGAGCTGTTGGCAAAAATGTGGAAAACTTACGGTTCTCAGAAGTCTTCCCAGGAAACTAAGTCATCTGGTAACCTCCCACAAGTGAACTAGGGATGGAGAACTTCTTCATCTCCTCCTTCTCCAGAGGTTAACTTAAAAAGCTCAGCTCCCTTGCAATCGCATGAGTAATTTTATTTTGATCATTTTCAGATTTCTGAAGGGTTGTGCAGCCTGTTCGTCGACACACCGAAATCTCCCAAGAAGCGTTATATCCACCGCGTTACCATTTCAGGACTGGTGCCAGGAAAAACATATCGTAGGTTACAGTAACCTCGAGGAAAAAACTATCAAAATGTGTACAGTGCACTCAATGCGTATTAAACTGAGGAAACCGAAAAATAGCCGATGTCATGATAGTCCAGAAAATCTGAGGGATGTTCTGTTCCCGCTCGTATACTGACCCATTGTTTTACGTCACTGCCTCGAAAAGAAGTTCCCCTTAATCAGCACGCCAAGTGGAACATCCTTATCACTACAAGTAACCATTTTTGCCCCCACAAAAGCCCCAAGAGTAGAAGACCGATGTTTCTGGGGTCGATCTATACTGATGCGAAAGACATTTTACTGTTATTCTTTATCGTGACAGATTGGACAAGCTGTCTAGCTCGCTTGATGGCTTAAGAGTAGTAGACTGTGTTCATGTTGGCACCTTTATCCTTTCTGGCGAATCTGGTTCCAACTTACAAGCTCTTCAGAAGAGGCTCAACTGTTGCCTACCGAATATTGGTACGGAAATTGATCGTTTGACCGATTAGGTAGTAACGACACCTCTTCCACTGCCTTATCCCGCTTGGTGTAAGCTGCACATTGTGACAAATATGCATCAGCTGTGTGGTTGGCAAAGTAGGGGTATCAGGGGCTTTGAGCGAAAACGAATTCTACTGGAAATATTCTAGGGATTTTCAAGAAAGCCAAGCCATCGGCGGATTTTGAAAAATCAATTTCAAAATAAATTATGAATAAAGGAGTAGGTAGTGTCAACAGGTAAACAACAACAGCAAAGTCCTTTCATTATCCTTTGTTACAGAATATCGTGTGGGCAGTGAACATGGATGGAGCGCACTATACAAGTTTACTGCATTGACTCCACGACAGGACGGTGGCTATGAGATTGCCGTCTTCGGAGATTTGGGTAATCAAAATGCTCGATCACTGGCGAAACTTCAGCAAATGGCTCAAGACGGTGATATCGACATGGTTATGCACGTAGGTACGTAAGCCTGGGAAAGTTAGAGCTCAAAAGTTCTGTAGATGTGGCCCTTTAGCGGTTTCGTGAAGCGGTTCAGTTGTGAGAATCCGTATACATACAGATAGTGTAGCCATAGCACTCTTGCTACAGGTATACAACCACTAATCGAGTATTGTTAAGAATAGCCTCCTTGTGATCACTTAATCAGAAGAAGGAAGGGCTAGGAGAAACACTACTGACACTACATACAGCTGCTCCTGAGTAGAAAATGTTAGAATGACTCTGTAAGGGAATTGGGTGCGTGGCGCATCCAATCGCTTCCCCTACCGACATAACCTTCTTTGAACAAAGGGACACATTGTGCAGAAATTTACTTGCCAGAAAAAAATAACAGAAAACCTCTTTTCAAGCTGAAACACCAGAAATATATGTTATTTAGGTGATTTCGCCTACAACCTTGACACCGATGATGGACGAGTTGGTGATGAGTTTCTGCGGCAGATAGAGACCGTTGCTGCTTATGTGCCATATATGACGACCGTTGGAAACCATGAGGTTCTCCATCTAGTACCGTGGGTTTTTGAGCCCATTAAATAATACTGTCAATTTTCAGGCAGCATACAACTTTTCACACTATGTTAATCGTTTTACGATGCCAAACTCGGAGCATAACCATTTCTACAGGTCGGTCCACTTCCTACATTGTCAGAACTCGAACTATTGATTCTCTGATTTAATCTATGAAGTTTGAAGGTAGTTGCCCGTGAACTTTTCTCTTTCCTCTTAAGAGGCTCCATAATTCCGATTAAAGTGATCTCGATCATTTCTGAACGACAGTGAATACACGATTGATCACATACCTTCCGGTTGGCTGAACAGTAGTCGCAATAGGAGCAACCAATCAAATTAGCACTAGCTCGAACTCTTTAAGTGCTTGAAGACGGACCTTTGATTGATAACTCACCCGTAAAATGTCATGGGACTGAAACAGCTACGTCCCGTCCTTTAGAACATGTGCCATTAGGNCTGTGATTGTATTCTCCTGGCTAGCTGTGAAAGGAGGTGCAACCTGTTGAAGCCAAACTTCTGACAAAGATACTCGTCATTGGCGAATTAATCCTTTAACTGCTTCAGTTTCGACTTGGGAAAAGCGCATTTTGTCATTTTCTCTACCGAATTCTACTTCTCCACTGAATATGGATGGAATCAAATTCAAAACCAATGGAATTGGTTGATCAGTGACCTTACGGTAGGTGATGGTCTTGGATATATGCATATGACTCGGCTCCTAGATCTAGAAAGAATTCGCTGAAGCTCCTATTGAAACGGACTGAATCCCGGAGGACTATTGCCGAGACTCCAGCTTCTGTAATGTTATTTGTCTGATTTTTCAAAATTTTTGCATTTTTCGGGAATAAATGAAGTGTTTTCACTAAGACTTTTGACAGGACTATATTTGCCTGAATTTTTTCTATTAAATAAATGTAAAAAAGTTATTATCAGTGTTTTATCTCAAGGCAGCAAACAAGAACAGAGCTAACGTGCCGTGGATTTTGACATTCGGTCATCGGCCGATGTACTGCTCAGATTTTGATGGAGATGACTGTACGAAATACGAATCCATAGTGAGTTATTTGATGGGCTGCTTGATTGCTTGTGTATTTTTTCGCTACTGCACCACTTTTTCATTTTTATTTTATTCTTACTCACTTTGGTTGGACTCTACTTAACTTTATTTTGCTCATCCATTATGAAGTTTCCCAGATCTCTAAGCCTATGATAAGGAGAATGCATGAAGTTGTGTCACTTGTGCGGCAGTGGGTGTTAGCGAAGCTAGATCAGAGTAAAACCTTGTTATGTGCGGTAGCGATACAGTCTCGGAATTCGGGGTTGGAGCTCGGATGTGGTGAGTTTCGTATTGGGAAGGAAGAGTAGGAGGGGCAGAAGGATGGTTATTTGAGAGGAGCGGCATTCACGATGACGACGAGCGGGGTCTGAGGGAAGGGAGACCTTGATTTGGTTTAGGTGGACTGGGATTTTTGACAATAAGGCAGGGTTTCTAAGTATCCACAGCTACACGTGAATCTGATTCGATGTATTGCTTAGCTGAAGTCTTTCAGATACGTACTGGCCTACCGAGAACACATGCATATGGTCTCGAGAAACTGTTTTACGAATACGGTGTTGATGTAGAAATCTGGGCTCATGAGCACACATACGAACGAATGTGGCCGGTCTACAATCGAACTGTAAATTTTTTATAACTTCTCCATTTGTGTAGCTTTTCATCATAGTTTGATGATGTGCTGGCTGAGCCTAACAAGAAAAATAGTTTCGGCTATTTAGCCGGCTAAATTTTTTTGGGAGTATCCTAGCTCCAAGCACTACTCTTTCTGTCTGTCAATGAGATGGTCGAATGAGAGTGTCAAGGGAAGTCAACTAATTATCAATAAAGGACTGTCATTTCCAGGTATACAACGGCACTGCATCTCCTTATAAGAATCCTCATGCTCCAGTCCATATCGTTTCAGGATCAGCTGTAAGTTTTGAGGATTTCTTAGCGTTTGCAGGTGCACTGCTTCCACTCATGGTGAACTTTGATTATTGAGGGCTGTCGAGAAAATACAGACACATTTATTACTCATCCTGGTCCATGGAGTGCCGTACGATCTACGGACTATGGTTTCGGAATTCTTAGAATTCACAACGCTACTCATATCCACTTCAGACAAGTAGCCGCTGCTAAGGTATAGTTCGTAAAAGCTATTTTTACCATGACATGATCCATACGGAAAACGGAATATCTGTTAAGTTCATGTAAGAGTTAGACGCGTGAGGAGGTTCCAAGATTTTCTTTATTGTACGGCTCGTCTTCACTCATGTGCGCGCACCAGCAACAAACCATTCGCTTCTGTCTTTCGCGATCGCCATCCACGGTAGGCTCAGTTCGACGAAGATGACGATGTAAGGAGTCGTTCAGCTGCTGGCGCAGCTGTTTCACGTGATCGACAAGCACATCTCCCCATCCCACAGTAGGCCCACCCTTAGGTCTTGAAGACCCTACGGGAGCCCACTCGACAGTCCTTCTTCGGGGTTTTAGATAGCAATTGAAATTACCTCTAAGTGTTGGAGACGCGTTCCGAACATCTAAACTTTATAGGGAAATTTTTGAAGTCTGCGACTATAGGTTGACACAGCATGGCTGGAGAACTCGAAGAAGTGGCAAGCATGAGTTGAACGCGTTACGATTTGCGCAGAAAAAAATGAACATCTGTTTCCACCTGAGGGTTTTTTCAAGTTTGTCTTATTGTGTAGAAATGACTGGTTGGCTACGCAAACAAAACAGTAGCGGTATTCGCTATTACCTGTATCACCTGTACCATCTGTAGTATCGTTGCTCATCGATTTCCTCAAGCAGGTACCGGTAATACATCGTTTTCGTTAGATTCAGTCTCAATCCGAGCTTTCCATGGACGAATGTTGACTTTCAAAATTCAGCCGGCATTCGATATTAGACATAATAGGTTCCTTTTGAGATCAGCTCAGAAGAAATATCATTCTGATTATTTATTTATTATATACCTGTTTGTTCATGTACTCTTTCATTGCAGGATGAAATCCAGGATGATTTTTGGATCGAGAAACACCCAAAGCATTCATATAAGCATATTCATCGCAGGTAAATGTTACCACCTTTGATATATTCACCGTCGGAATGAAGTACTAATTATTTAGAAAGCAACTGAAAGCAACATACGTACCAACGTCATACTGTCATAGGGAAGATGAATGCTATGAGATCAATGCAGAAGCCAATTTTCTTGAACTCGATTAAGCAGTGAGTCTTTTTTCCTGAAATCCCATTGCAACTTCTCTGCCATCCTTTACTCGTTGATCGTAAGTCATGAGCTGGATTGCTTTTGGAAAAATCGGAATACATGAATAAGGTTACGCACATTAGATTGCTTATATCGTCTACTGATGGTAATTTGGGATGGTCGATAAGCAAGTTGAAGTAGAAGTTGACCTATTANCTTTGTGATCTGAAAGACTGCAATGTGGGGAGACGGGCATTAGGAACGATTTTGGGTAATCGACTCGCCGCACGCGGACCACTCATTCGCCGTTATTACAGCTCTAGACTTCTTCATACACCTCAATCGATATGCGATCATTATTTTATGCATAATTCTACTATTAGTACTTCTGTTATTGTATTTCTTACCTACTGCTGTATCCTGCTACATTCCTTCGCGCGCGATTTCCCTCTCACCGCGACGCGACAATTTCGTTCCTATTGCACCACACCCCTGAATGTGTACTTACTGATACTGTGAAACAAACTTCAGGCCCACTCACTAGTGGAAGGAATGGGGCAGTGATTGAGCGTTCCCTAGTAGTTTCTTGAAGTTTGCCTTGTCCCCATAAAACTAAGATATCGCATTCTGTGCTACCATCCCATGGAGCCCACTGCCTGATCGTTGCTGCTAAGGATGTGGTTGACTCAGATACACAATTGCTCATAGACTGCAACAACTAGCAATGGATCTGCAGAGGATAATGCCCTTTTTCGATACCACGCTGCTGTTCTATCTTGATCACACTAGTTTGATAAGAAGCTCCGAGAAGGTAACATCGTCCATTCCAAAGGCAATCAGGGGTTATGCTATTGTACCTCGTCAGGTAAGATGAACGTTGAGAACATCGCTATATCCAAAATCAGTGCCTGTGGCGATAGATTCAATCTGAATATGTTGAATTTGCTATTTTTCTATAACGATAATCTGGCATAGTGAATGTGGAACTCAGTTGTGCTCGAACAAATATTTAAAAATCAACATAAACTGCGACAAACATTCCCGATAGCGGCACGCTGGAAAGCAGAGAAAAGCTTTTTTCTTCATAGTTCAACAATTGGTGGGCAGCCTAGAATATCTTCATTGAAAGGAATTCTTCCTAGCAGTTCAGAAGGAATACTACAAACGGCGTCCTCGCCGTATGTTTCCAATTGCTTGGTGTGGGCTTCCTTTGCATTCCAGCCGAAACCGTGAAGCAAAAACAGGCTGAAGCGCAGGCACATTCTGTCACAGTGGTTATACTGCGACATTGTCGTCTGCACATGCAGGGTGGGTGAGTGATAGCTAGTGTGATGAAAGAGTATCGTGCACTGGTAACGCCCACGTGATTACGAAATACCAACATTCATGCAAACGAAATACGGGAGGATCAAACACGGAGAAAAGAATTTATGCATCAACCTAATAGATGTCTATCTACTTATGGTGCAAACAGGAGAACTCAAATAAAAAACATTTACTCTGATAAAACATTGTTACCTATCCGGCATTCAATCATAATCTACCCCTCAGAAAAACCGAAAAAGAATGACTCAATAGCAAGAAAGTCTTCTAGAAAATTCCTGAAAATGCTTCTGCTTTATGTACACAAGTATAGAAGAGATTAGTTAGTATGCTGCACCTAACGGTCTGAAAAAACACAATACATTAAAATGACGGCTGTCTAAACAATATTCTGAAAATGATTATCTCACCGGCATGGGTCCTACACTTTGCTAGGAAACTGATCGGGGAAGAATGGCAATGTAATAGTTATCGCAGCACGGGGTCTTCTTACAATAATTTTTTATAAAAGCCTAACTTTATCGTGGAAATCCTGAAAAATCGACTTGAGATATTTTTCATAAGCACATCAGCGCTCACAGCTGTAGAGCCGGTCAGCCAGTGTTGGCATTGAACCGTGAGCTGTTCTGTTATTATTTGTTTCGACTTGATGTATTGCGCGCCTAAGGGCGAACGACTCTCCAAAGTTGTGAAATAACAGTCAAAAAAAATACCACCTTAAAGCATAATGCGACACAAAACTTGCAACTTCACGATTCAGTGCCTTTGTAGGCTGACCAAGTCATTGCGCTCTTTGTAAGCTACTAACCTACATTTTCGATTTCATTCTTCACGTCTTCATTTTGTTCCTACAGATATCTGTAAAGGAATGTTTTACTGATGACTGGTTTTTGATGCCACTTTGTAATTCTTTTGCGTGAATGCTTGAATTCATAACAACGCAAAGTTTCCTTCTGTTTCATCCTTTTTTTCAAATATGCTACGTCACACAAGCTGTTGCTGGTGAATGCGACAAAGGCTTGGTGGAATAATGAGAGAGTGTCACTAATATGGTTTTGATTGATTGGAGCCGAAGAAATATTATACCTATGCAGCAGTTCAGTGGAATGTTCATGTTAGAGGGACTTCAGAGTTCCTGTTCCTCTCTCGTTGTTCCACTACTTCATTTTTCCGTTCTTGAACACTTTTTTCTTGAACACTACTCACTGTGCTGAAACCAAGTGAAAATGAATGAAGAAGAATTGGAGTTCTCAGTAGCTCACCATCTGCTTTCAGTGCCTCATTTTAGCATCAGAAAAAGGAAGAAAGGGTTTTACAGCGTAACAATAAATCAAGTATGAGATATAATATAGTGCTATTTTTTTCTTTCATTGTTCCCCACAAAGAGGAAGAGCAATGCCGATGAGTTAAATACTGCAGGATATTATTCGGACAGCCGTTATGCTAATGCATTGTACTCACCCAGACGACCAGGTGCAGCTGAACTAATTCCTACCTCTATATAGAAGGACAGCTAGAGAAATTCGCTTCATTCGAAACGCAATGTGTCTTCACTCTGCTGGTTTATCTCCTAGCGTGCCTAGCCACTCACGGTAAGTGCTTGAAATCGTCAAGCTCAGGCTTATCCTAAAGCTTACTACTTTGGGTGGTTTTACACATTCGCTCATTCTGCTGGAACGCAATAGTCGGTCTATTATCTTTCTGTGCCGACAACAAAAGATTTCTATGACTCATGAATGGGTCTGTCTGAGATGCTTGTTCTCTTGCACATAAACCAGATATGGGATGGCGATTCGGCTAAGCAAGTACTGAAGCCACGTCTCTTTGGGTAATTCGACTTGGCTACTTAAACGAACGAATGCACCGCCTTTCGGCTCTAACAATAAGATCACTAGTTTGGATGGAGCAACATTGTAAATCTACGAGATAGAAGANGAAGGATACTAGGGCTTTCCATACTCGACCAACTAGATGTAAGCGGTTCCAGTTTGGATGGGGGTCACAATTCACTGACTCTTTGAGTTTCCGTAGATTGAAGAGGAAAGAAGTAGAAGATATAGAAGGGGGCCTCCTTCTGTTCCCCAGCTAGCTTCACTTGCAAATTCCCCATAGTTTCTGTCTGTCTATTTGTTTCTCAAAAAGTGGTGGATTTTGGCAATTATTATGTCACTTATCGTTTATTATTGAAACTAAAATAGTGATCATTTAAGGGCGGAACGACTCGCAGCAGACACAAACTTCGGATACAGTGGTGTTCTCAACGCATACTTAGCTACGTACAACTTCTCTTTTATTGTCTACTTTTGCAAGAAGCAGTAGACAATGTCTCTTTCACGAAACTTCTCGATAACTTAGTATGACAAAAAAGACGGAAGAGTTCAAATGTATCAGGAAAAGGCACGTTCTTCGCCGGTCATCTAAGAATGTAATGAGTTTGTTGCCAAGGAGTTATGGTCTCTGCGCCAACCAAATCCTCAAGCGACAGAATTGATGGCTTGACAAAGTTCTGTTTACTAAAAAAGAAAGCTAAAAACGTTCACTGTGGAAAGGAGACGCCCAGGCGCTAGACCTAGGATCAAAGGTGATGGAGACGTCGCCCTATGAAGTTTTGATCATCGTTCTTCTCTTAACTTCCTTCTTTAATTTGCTCTCTCTTTTCTCTCTCCTATTCTCTTTGCTTGCCCGAAATAAGGTTTGGAGGATGGTGATCGTTGTGTGTGCCGTTACGCTCCCGATCATACGGTGGATCAGTGGGAGCACCGAAGGCCAGGACCCGATCACCATCTCACACTCATTTGATGCATTATCACTGCCAATTTAGGTGGACACTAAGTAGGAAAGATAATTGTTCGCCAAACAATAAGATTCTTCTGTCATTGTGTGAGGGAAGTGTACACGACGGATATGTTTCCCATACATCCATGCGTTTGGTCTTCATCCCTTTTCTTGCCCGTCCTATATAGATCTTTTTCTTTACTAATGTGCTAGGCTACTCTCGGATTTTTCTTATGATCCAGATATTGTGTGTGCATTTATAATATCTTTCCTTTTTTCATGACTGTTGTACCGAGTTAACTCTTCCACCATGCCCCTTCCTCTCCTCGGAGCTAGCGATGATTGATTCTTTTTTAATGAAAGTACGTAACCAGCCGTAGCCTTCCGAGAAAGGGGAGATGTACATAAAACGCAAAAATTTTTGTTGAAATTGTGCTGAAGCTAACAATGTAGAACGAGAATACTGGACCTAATTATTTCCTTCTTAAGCCTGAACGGCCATAGAAAAATAGGGTCATCTTTCCATTCTATCATTCTTATTATATGTGATTGTTTTGAAAATAAAGCGTTTTTGAGAAAGGAACTCCATGAGAAAAGTGAACAAGTTCTCCAAAAAATAGCATGATGCGAAGGCTATTCTTCGGTGGATGAACCTGAAACTCACTGGACCGGATGGTTCCTGTGAAATTAGCAACAGACATCAGGGTATCATTTTTATTACATTCGTAATGATTAATATATCTTTGTAAAGTTACATTCTTTACTGTGATTTCGCCTTCGTGAGCATTTGATTTAAATATATCACCATTGTGTTTTGAAATGCCATTTTCAAGAGAATATTTTATGTGTCCCACTTGTTTTCGTCTGGCTTGGTTCTCTACATACTGCGTTGATCACAGAGACGCCGAGACTCCCGACGTAGCCGACATGCTCATTCCTTGAGTTTTTGCATTTGGTCTACAGGCGTGAGACCTGTCTCTCAGGGATATTCTGCTACCGGCTTAACAAATGGAACGAGTCGTTTCGCCTCTGCACTTTAAATCACTTCACCTATGAGCCTACCTCAACCTTCAGATTCCCCTTGTTTGCTGCCTTAAGGGTTACATTTTGGCCAGAATTTCAAAAAAGTCTAGGAGAGAGCTGAAAGCAATTCTTCCTAACCTTGAGAAAAAAGAGATAATAATGCAGAATCCTACACAATCACATAAAAGCCATACCTTGGACTGAATCTTCCGTGAATTGCCGATGAAGAATAAAGTTTTGTAGTCTCGGATCTTTCTGTTTTTGAAGACATGAACCATATTTCCATATATGGCAGCCAAGGAGAGCAATAAGAGAAATTTTCTCCGTCTGAAATGTGTGCTCCTACCATCCCAATCCCCGGCAGCAGCTAGAGGTCTGAAGCATTCTAAACACAGTGATATATCACGCTGTGGGCGACAGGCTGAGCGCTTGTCGAGATGACATAGTCGCTCATGTAAACCTCCTTCAGCACGCTCTTATTCATACCATGAACTGGATTACTGGCTACGTTTGCTGCGGCGTAGTTTCTGCAGCGTCCATGAAGGTATACTGATGAACGTTTGAACGCAATTATTTGATGTGTTTCATTATTTTTCATTTTCTTCCTATTGTTCGAGAATTATTGTAATCTCGTTTTGGACGGGAAGCAGATTAAACTTGTTGTTGATGAAGCATTGAAGTAGCATAATCGTGGTACAACATTAATGTATTATAATATTTGGTGATAATTGCTGATGGAAATAATGAACTCGTTCATATCCCATTCCAAGAAAAGCTGTGCTTGTACTAATAATTCGAAAATATAGAAGATTTTCAATTTCAAATGAAAACTGGATAAACGGCTTATTTCTTCCTACTATGCGCCTATTAAAACGACTCCATTCGATATTCAAACAATATTGAAATGACCTGGTAGCCGGTTTACTTTACGGAGCTTTTATTTTAAAACAAACTAACCAAACAACTAAGCAGTCAGAGGGGAATCAAAAGTCATGGGCAACATCCTAGTCGCTTGAACGTTCATACAGCACCACGAGCTGTTGAATGATTGCACTAATCCTCTGATTTTCAAATTCCACGCTCATTACACTGCTCATTATATTGTAATAGTAAACCATGCTTCGGCGTCGTAGTGGCTTGTAGTTTGAACGTGAAGTGTTTGCAGTAGTGAAACATAGAATCAACAACTAACTAATGATTTAATCGCAGACACCATAGAGCTGGCTTAAAACCGCACCTGACAACATTGTAATTCAACAAAATACAAAATTCAACAAAGTACAGCTGACGGCATTATTTCGCATCATCAGCAATGTCTATTATCCACCTGCACACTCGAAGGAACTGAGGGTTTGGAATGCTGCAACCAAGTTTTCGGTCGATTTGAATGACGATATGGCGAAAGTAATAGGATTACGCTGATCGTCACAAGCGATTTTTCGATCCCATGAATGCTGAACAGCAATGTGAAGAAATCCGGTCGGTTTACAATTATATCCGTCAACAAACAATTGAAGTCACCACTGAAGCCTTACGGTCCAAAGTTGACGATAACGCTCTCAACACAATATTCAACGAAGGTAATATATAGTTGGAAGACTTATTACGGCAACTACCCTTCTATATATTTCATAAGTTTGAGAAAATCTAATCCGAGTGCGAAACGGCACAGGAGCTAAGGAGTCTTGGACCGAGTGGAACCATTACATGGCTTTAGGATACCAGCATTGTAGAGAGAGGTGATCAAAAGCATTTCAAAGACTTGCCTCTATAAGGCTCAGTTTTATTCGAAGCTTCACATGTGCCTACTAATGTTTTGGTATTGTTTTATACAACGATTCAAGAACTGTTCGTACCTCGTCTACACTATAAATTTTATATCGCCAGTCGATCCTTGGAATATCGGCCTCGGATGCTAAAATGCCGGTGTAGAATACGTCCTAGATAAAAGTCTTTGATTACAACATGGAATAAAGCTCAGTTTTGAGTACACAAGTTTCGAGAGGCTGGGAAGCTTGCATTAAAGTCACTTGCAAAACTTTCCAATAAAGTCATCTGAAGTAAAACACGAAACAAAAGTTTGAAGGAGTTTAAATCTGAAGCATTCCCCACGAAGCTTCCTCTTTCCACCAGATGTACACCCTTATAGTCCTATAATACTCTCTTTATAATCCCCTTGCGTTCCATAAGTCTGGGCGTCCATAATTTGCCTAAAACCGGAAAACATGACCTGCGGTAGGGCTCGCTATTATTACTACTGTCATACTCCCTATCTGCCGTGCTGCTGCGAATGTATCGACCTTCAACTACTCAATTCTTTAGTGTACGATCACAATCACGCACGATGTTCCGCAGGAGAGCGTGAGGTTGATTATGTATGTGTTTGTGTTCTGAATCACGTTTTGAACTCTTCCAAGATTCACTATACTGAGAAGCTTGTTTTTTAAAACTATGTAATTGCTGTACTTCTAAGGGAAACGGTTCGTAACATCGCTCCGCTGAGCTGAGAATTTCACATAGAGCACTTCTTCCTATCAAGTAAATAGGTCCATCGCAGTAGTTAGGATACGTTTCTTCTTCATATATTTCGTGTGGAATGTGCCTGAAAAGATGAAGGTAGCTCTCAAATATCGGCTAGACTCCATTTCTATTACCATTTCCTGGTTGGATCACGGTCCGGCTTAATTCCTGACCAAACCTGGCAATATATTTTATTTTTATCGCGTTCGGCTTCGATCCAGTGCGCCAACATACGATCAAAGTTAATGACAACGTCGTCATCAATTTTCATCATAAAACCTGTCCTGAAGCAACATGTCAGAAAGAACCTCATCGCTGCATTGACCTAAACGTGGCAGACTTCAGCCATCTAAACTGTTCTAGCGAGAATCAAACGTAAGATAATTACTTTACTTTGAATACCAAGTTTTCGTATGATTCCTCTATATCTGTAACGATCAAATCTCCATAGCTTTGCTGCTCCCTAAGCAGTTTTAACATGTTCCAGGCTGTCTTTGGGGCACCCACGATAAAGAAGACTGCAACATGTCCGTTCTGTAAAAGGCAGTGATTACTTTTTTTGTATGGAGATGATAGCATTAGTGGAATGTCCTGCCTAGAAGATTCTCTTAAAATGTAATAATATAATAATATAATTAACTATAATATAATAATATAACTATAATATAACAATATAATAGCGGACTCTCACTCAAGGTCTTGTAGGCACATGGAATTGTGAGTTCAGGTATTACTTGATATGCACTTTGTTTTTCAAATCTCTTTATCTATTTTAAGCAACTCAAACAACTCGACAAACCAATGTGGACAATTATATGGGAACAACTTTCTGTGGCGCAGGCATTACACGAGGTTAAACCGTAATGGTGAACTCTAAGCGAGTTTTCCTCAATTCTTTAACTCATTATATGAGAGTTTTTATCAGCAGAAACATGTGCTTTCAGCATGAACATCATTCAAGTTGCCCTTCCACTTGCAACTAACTTCTCAATTTCATTTCAATTATTTTTATCTGCCTTTTTATTCCTTCAGAAATACATATGCTTAGAAATCGTTCCGAACAAGTACCTATGTCGTATGCCGTGTTTAATGGAGAAATTTTGGCTTCATTTGGAGGTGTTGGGTAAAGTTCTGAATGGTGGGTCTCATTGTACTAAGATTCAGTACATGGCTCAGAGCCGTTGTTTTTCAGCCCGTATGATTAAAAGCAAAGTATACACAGGCGTTAAACACTTGAATGATGCATTTTGTCAATGAGCAGAATTACTGGTATTCCTCTGAATCAGTACAGATGCCCTCATTTTGCTTGTCCTCTGTCTTGTTTATATTAATGGTAAGATTATGAGGCTGTTTATATTAGTGGTAAGATTATGAGGCTCAAGTAAGAAAACAAGTTACTAAGGGCATGAAAGGTAGCCGTTACAAGTTGATTTCTGTAAAATAGTTATCATCATCCCTGCTCTTTTCGCTGCTGCACTGGAAACTGTATTTCGAAATATCTAGTGGAGCAAGGAAGGGATCAACATAGATAGAAAATAACTGAGTCACTTCAGGATACGCACGATAAAGTTATTATACACACGGCAGTCAAAAACTTCGAGCAATGCGTTGGACTCAAAATCAATTTTTCAAAGACTAAAATAATGATCAACTCCGTGATCCGGCTCGTTGCCATCGGTGGACATAATGTGCAATACTGTGCTGACCTAACTACCTTGGACAAATGGTCTCTTTCGGTACGGACTGCAGCGTAGAAAAACACAGATGAATTCAAGCAGAATGGTGTGCATCCAACCATTTCTTTTCTTTACCAGTAGAAGGATTCTGATGAGATTCAAATGTCGCGTCTATGAAACTTGTGCAGAACCAGCAATTTGTTATGCCCGTGAAATGTGGACGAAGACGAAAAGAGATGTCACGATGTTGAAAGTAGCACAACGAAGAATGATGCGGAAGATGATAGGTATAACTCTCTTACTTCAACTGGTGCCTGGTCAGAAAAAGTCACGAAAATACCAGATATATCGGCGCGAGCGATAAGAAGAAAGTGAATGTGGGCGAGGAAAGTTCTAGAGAAAGAAAAGAATAGATAGACCAAGATAATAACCGAATGACGACCATGGATTGGAGAAGATCAAATGGCCGCCACAAGTTAAGATGCCGAGACTCCTTTGTATCCCTCCTTGGATCCGGGCGTGTTGCGATTCGTGCGATTCTGGGTGTGCTCGACAAATTGCGCGGCGGAATTCGGTGCGATTTGGGCGACTGCAACGTTTATCATTTAAGCTCAAATTTGAAGTAAAGTAGGTTAGTAGGATTGACCGTCCCTACTAAAATACTCTACTTCAAGTTTGTGCCCCAATCATAGACGCCAGTGTTGTTTGAATCATCGCGAATTTCGCCGCGCGCACCCAGAATCGCACGAATCGCTCGTCCCCCCTTGGATCCCAATTGGAGAAGAGGAGCTACAAACGGCCCTAATCCATGGAGAAGAGGTATGATGCGATGCATTGAAACAATGTGATCTCGTTCGAATAAATAAAAATATCATCATCATCCGTTTTCAATTATATGGAAAAATCAATACCGCTATTGACTTTGACAGTGTGGGTGATGCCCATGATTCACGTGCTGCTTGCCTCTGCATGAACCTTTGCGGAGTAGACGGCACCAACGCAACGATTCGGCTCTCCCTATGACAATGGAATGAATGTAATAGTAAGGTAACCATGGGAGGGCCGCTAATCGATGTCTATTTTTCAGACCTTGTAGTTTCTTTAGCAACAAAAAGCTCCTTTGTTTGATGTAAAAAGACTGCATTCTCTGGCTGGCATAGAAATAATGAACTAAGAAACAGTGGCTGTACTGTAAACGGATGGTTTTTTGGCCTTAGCTGCCGCCGAACAGCTCGAACATGCAACAGACACAAGATGCTATAGCAACCAATTAATTCAGCTGCTGATTCAATTTATTCAGTAGGTGGATCGAATGGGTTGCTGCTTTAGAGCTCTTCTTGTGCCTGGAGAGTATATCATTATCAGTGTCCTAGACAGAGACTTAGCTTCTAAAAGGCAATATCCCATGAAGCTCTAAAAAAAGCAATCTCTAATGAACCTCAACCGTCAACCACATTTTGGTGCCAAGGTTTTCAAAGTATAGTGAAGTGTCAAGTTCAGCCTCGAATCATGCCACCGAGATGTTCGACAATAACGAAGTGAATGTAAAGATTGTAAAAATTACAGGGTAGGCGAAAGAGTACCTATTGTTAGGCAAAGACTCTGACGAAAAATGTGGTTGAGTGAATGAAAGAGAATTATCCCTCTTCGAGCATATTCATGTGCTATGACCTAGATATTTTTCCTATCATACGAACTACAACTTTTTTCAACAAGGTAAATAGCTCAACGTACGCTGTGTTACATGCTGAGATGTTTGGTAATGTGATATATTTGTATTTTGTTGTGGTGTTCTTGAAAATTACTCGATTCGCAGTTGGCTCTTCGTGATCATGGAATACTTCAGTGCAGTAGAAAATTCTCCATGAAATATACAAATCTGAAAGACTTGGCAACCTTTTTATTGGCATTAACCAGTATGTGCTGAAGTAAAGAAGAAATTTTGAATGAGTATTTCACAAAGCCAAAAGCGCCTCGAAAGTGAAGCATTAATTTCGAAGCAATTTCCTGTGCGGAACCAATTCTTATGCATTTGCGAAGCTTTCCTTATGATTTTCACTGTTTTGCCATTTGTCGAAAGACTTTTCTCTCGCTACTGAAAACCATTCTCGTAGATTGGTCATATAAAACAAAGATAAGGCCTAGTCTGATCTCCCGCTTAGATAGCTGCGATGTAGCGACATCGTCGTGCAATTTAAGGGCGAAATCTGGATGAATTTGCAAGTATCACAGTCATAAGTGATAATCGGAGAGGATTCTCTTTCATGCCAGTTCGAAAAAAACTTACATATAATACCGGCGGTTACAAGGAGCTCTCCAATGCTTCTCAATGATCCAGCATAATTTGGTGTGCTCATTATATAAGTACATGAGAGGGTTGAAAAAACAACATTCACCGACTGGCAAATACCAGTGACGGGACTAAGGACGATACGATAGAAATACAGGCTAAATTAGTGTAAGGAAGCCTTTCGTCATGGGTAAAACGAGCTATTGCTTTAATGAAGGGCACATTTAGGTCGCTAGGCCGTATTCAAGTTTTCGCAGCGTACGCCTCTAACGAATTGCAATTCGATTCAGGATTAATTCTATCGTTGTCCGAGATAGAAAAAAGTGTACGTTGTTGATCAATATCTATTCTTCCGAGTGAGTGGGGCACAAAAATACTTTATCCGAAGCAATGAATAAATATAATGCCGAGAAAATGGATAGATGGAACAACAGGGATGGAAGTAATGAATTCAAATTTTACACCTACTCGCGGTACAACTAGCTTTTTGAAAGTATCCGAATAGCACAGAAGGATCATAAGAAGCAACTCATCAAGGTAACAAAAACGACAGTTTTGTGAACGAGACCAAGTTGAACAAAAACTTCCTCAAACCGAACTTTGTTTCCAAGTTTCATCCAGCAACTAGAGATTGAACGCGATCATTGGACCGCTGCGATCGGTAAGGCCTGATACCTTCACGTCAACCTACAATATTAATGGGACTATAGATTTTTAAGGACAGAGAATCTATAAAGCGACCACATTTCTTTGGACGATTCAGTGTCTTTCAGACAAGAAACAGATTGTGGAGCATGCTAAGGGTCACCAAATCAAACATACTACGAGATTTGTGTAACGATCACATCTAGATGATGCAAAAAAAGAATAAGCATCGGCAGTAATCGAGGCTTATAGAAAAAGGAAATGCCTCCTTTCTGTATACCTGCATCTTTTCTGTTATGTATGTAGAAAAAATCACTAGACGAACTGGAACATCTCCGCAGCATCTACACGCAAATAATGACAAGTCACCCGCACGATTATTGGAGACAAAATACTCAGAACTAATGGCAGCAGTACGTACGTACGAATAATACGGACCAACCTGTGCAACCCCTGAAGGGGGTGAATGTTTGAGACATCAATACAGCATTGAGTACTACAAAGGGGGCTTACCACGAAGTCCTGTCAGATACACATTTGTGCTTGCATCTTCACTGGAGCTTAAGACGGAAACGAGCTAACAAACTGATATTCTTACCAGCTTCTAGCGAAAAAACTCTCTGAAGACAAACTGTGCATGTGTTTCGGATAAACAACATTAATAAAAATAAATGAACAACATTAACGCGGATACTCTTCTGCCGTGGATACAAAAGGCACAAACTCCTGTAAGTTGGGCAGGTTGCAATAGAAAAAGGAGAGTAGCTTCCTTAATATAAAACCTCTGCCCCCCCCCCCTCAAACAAGGAGCAAAGCAGCAACAGCAACACTAATCAAGAAGGAACAAAACACGCAGTAGGGCGGACGCGGTGTTGTGGCAAGTGGTGCATTTCACACTGATTATAAGTTGAAATGGGACTGGATGCCACACGACTACTATAGGTTCGAGGGGTCTCCTTGGTATGTTTGATTACCAACTACAATTTTTAGTTGTCCGTAAATTTTCTATAGTTACTTAGCCCTTTTGTTTGTCTACGATGGCTGTTATCGCTCTCTTTGTACTAGTTAGGGCGTGTTGAGTGACACGCACGAATAAATAAATAAATAAATAAATAGAAATAAGAAGCACCTGCGGAAGTTGGGTAAAATTAGTGATGGGTTGGGTATAGGTCAAGAGCAACGGAGCACATGTGAGCTCAGCGCAGTCCGCCACCAGGGGGCGGGGCATGCTAAGCCCACATGGGCGGGGCAATGTGCAAACTTTTCTCATTCGGTCTAATAACACTCCAGACGCCGGGAAAAAATATGCAAAGGTGGGGGATGGGACAACAATTGAACTGAAGCAAACTTACCGACGGTGGGCGGAGCCTTCACGCAGTGGGCCGTACTTTCCACAAAGATTCATAACTCAATTTATCAAAGGCGTCAAGGCCAAGAAAAAAGAGAGCAAGGCCTAATGCGTGCATGGCATGCGTAAGCATAGCGAAGTCCGCACACGATGGGAGGGGCGTGCCTTCAGATGAAAGCTACTTTTCAAAAATGAGTATGACTTCGTTCAGAAACGTACTAGAATGCGGGAAAAAAGTGGTTAGAGGTAATGGAACAAGTGTGGTCAAATCGTTGAAGTGGACGGGGCTAGCCCTAAAGTGGGCGCGTTAAGGTCAAAATTTCATAACCCTGTCCAGAAACGTTCTAGAACGCAGGAAACAAGGGTTAGAGGTATTGGAACAATTGAGGTTGAGCCCTCGGAAAAAGGGGCTGGGACCGAAAATTCATCTCTTCAAAAACTTTCTAGAACGCGGGAAAAATGGTTAGGAGCAGTTAAAAGAAGTTTTTATAGTGGAAAGGCCTGCACTGAGGTAGACGGAGCTATGATCAACCGCTAATAGTTCTGCTCAAATAAAATATATCGAGCGTGTTGCTCTCAGCACTTCAGCGTTCATATCTAGTGAGAACTATCTTATTCTGACAATCCAACATTCCGCTGATTGACTCTATCGTAGACAAGCGGTCGCTGACACATAGTGCACGCGCTAGCCTGCACAGCCTAACTGGTACTATATATAAAGCGCTCGCGCTTGTTCGTTTGTCCGGAAGTTCGATATTACTTGAAGAAGCACCTACAGAAGCCGGGACAAGTTTGGGATGGGCTGGGCATAGGACAAGATCAGCGGAGCACATGCGAGCTCAGCGGAGCCCCATCCACAGAGGCGGGACATGCACGGCAATGAGCGGTTTTCGGGCATAATGCCTGAATTAGGTCTCATGTTAGCCCACACGCCGAGGAAAAAAGGGCAGAGGTGTGGGATGGGTCAACAAGTGCAATGAAGGGCACGGTGGGCGGAGCAATCTTGTAGTGGGCGGTACTCACCACATAAGATCATAACTCGATTAAATGGAAGCGTGGAGGCCAGAACAAAATAAATGAAGTGGGCAAGGCCTAAGCGTGCAGGGCGTACTTAAACATGTCGAGGCTCCGCCCACAGTGAGCGGAGCATGCCTTCAAATGCTAAAGCCTTAAGTTAAGACCTAAAGACCAAAAACCCATACTCGGTTCAATAGTGTTCCACCATGCGGAAAGAAAGTTGCTAAAGGCTTAAGAAGAAAGTTTCTCAAATCCCTGAAGTGAGCGGAGCTTGCACTGAAGTGGGCGGGCTCAGACCAAAAATCCGTGACTCCTTCAAACACTTCGTAGAACGCGGGAAAAGAGTGGCAGGAGGCGATGAGGTCTGTGGTGAAAGCCCGATCGAAAATCATAACTATGATTGAAAACGTTCATGAACGCGGTGAAAGTGGTTAGGGGCAGCTAAGAGAGGGTTGGTCGAATTTTCATAGTGGGGTCTGCACTGAGGTGGGCGTTGCAATGTTCAATCTCTAATAATTCTAGACAAAAGAAATCTATAGAGCTAGACGCTCTCAAAGGCGTTCAAATCTAGAGAAAACTATGTTATTCTGATAATCCAACACTGCGCTGAAGGTCTCCATCGTAGATGAGCTGTCGTGGAAATATAATGCACGCGCTGGCATGCATAGCCCAACTGGTGACTTATACCATAGGAAATTCTCATTCATTCATGTATATGATCTAAGCACATGCTCCTAAGCAGAATATTAGGATGTTCTTATTATCAAGTCTTGAATTAATTCTTGACCCATTAATGGACTCAGCGCATTGATTGACACTTCATAATCACCTTCTGCAAGAGGAAACAGTCGAATTTCACTGTGAAAATTCTCATTCTGCTCAGAATCATACATTTTCGTACAAATGCAATCAAAAACAACTAGTCACAACGACATAAGAAATCTTTAATATACAATGCAGACAATACATAGAGTAGAGGCTTGTTACTATGGAGCTCTGCGGCTCACAGAAGTTATGCCTATGATCCTGAGGAAAAAATTGCAAAAACTTCTTCGTATTTACAAAAGAGTACATGCTCATGATAACAGTACCCGGTTTTGAACAGTTTGCCTAAATAACTAGATCTCGAACGATTTAGAATCGCTTGCGAAATATAACCTCAAGACTAACACTTCCATTTTGCTCCGATACGTAGTTGCACCGATGTGCATACATAACAAAATAACAGAAATATAGTATGTCTATAAAAGTTCGGTCGGAAGTTCTTCAGCTGATAGTCGATGGGAGAGCTAGTCAGGGAACTAAGAACAGCTCCCTTCAGAACAGGCACTACACTTTTGAAGTCAAACATAAAAAGCATATACATGATATAGTACAATTCCTTAGTTTCGCCCTTTTGCATTAGCAATAGAAAATTCCAAATAGTGCTATTAAAATTCACCATTTCCATTGCCTATTCACAACTCACAATAACGGCAAAGGGCGGCAATAATAACTACAATAACGACAAGGCTAATACAATTGAAACTCATTAGGAGGTTTTGTGACAGGGGGACATTTGGAGTTCATTAATTTCTGAGATGCTTCTTGCATATCCTTGGGTGATTCCAGTGGGTAATGCGCCACGGTCATCGGTAACCCGTCTTCACTACATAAGGTAGCGTCATTTGTTTCGCGCTAAATTTGGATCTCATTTTAGTGAACGCTGTTGTTTTTCTGTAGTCTATTGAAAAATATTTGTACATACAGAAAAGTAACCAAGATCACACTCTCATCGCAAACGGAAGCAAATAGAACAATGAATGTACCGGGAGTCATAGCCATTCACCGACTCAATCCTTAATGCCACTCACCCCTTGCACATCTCGTCCGTTTTTGAGCATGGTATGATATTATGAAAAGTGAGCCAAAAAAGTGTTAAATCAAAATGGAACAGAATCTGATATTCTTTGTAGCTCTTCATCGTCTCGATAATCCTGGTGCCTTCTATGCAGATCTCTTCCTTTTTCGGCTCTTGGCTCAGCCGTTTTCAAGTTGGTTTAGTGACCAGGATATGCAATGTTGGAGTCGCTTTGAGCATAATGGGAGGCCAGTTTCTTCAATCAAACACGATTTCCATAAATGTATCTGCAAATGGAGTTACCATCCAGTAGCAATCGCAGCACCTTTTCCTTGCCTACAAGCAAATGTGCTTGTTTGATAAATGGTGACTTCTGCACGATTTTTCGATGCAGGTGAGGTGGAACTGCAGTTCTTTAACTTCAACTCGTAGATCATTTCGTTTCGCTTGACCATTCGAGACGTTCGAGAGCAGTGTTGAATGTTTGAGAGCCGTAGATGTAAGTTTGCAGAAGATCAGTGATGGAATGTGATGGCGCACAGTAGCTCTCCGGTGCTTAAGAAAAAGCGAAAGTTTACGGCATTAAAATGCGAACGTTCTGAAAAGTAGAAGAAATAGGATATTGTGCCCAGTAGGAAAGTCGCTGCCCAAGGTTGTGCAATTCGAACAAAAGAATAAGAACAACTTATCAGTCCGGGCAAACAACAATGTGTTATTATTTCAAGAACTGCCCAGTGCGAAAGTTGCAGCTTCTACAAGATTAAAAACAAGAAAATGGGTCATTTTTGGGTGTGGCAAACAGCGCAGACAGTTTCTGAGTTCTTACTGCGCTCTACTCATGTCTTCACAGTCCCGCAACGCTTTTATCTGTACCTTTTTCTGTCAATCCCTGCGAACGCGACCACATTAAATCCCCGATCTGCAAAACTTTTATGCTCAGCTTCCATGTTTCACTTCCACTTTGCTCACACGCTCGCTAATAGTATTATTATTTCAAAGATACGGAGCTCTCTACCTCAAGGAGATGCATTATCCTCCTGTCCCAATCTACGAAATCTGTTTTAAGAGCTCCTGCCACAAGTCCTGTATAGAAAACATCCTAAAATAAACATACAATCAAAAACATAGATCTTTGCAAATTCCTGATATTTTTTAGAATAAGTACGTTGTTATATGTGGAACGCAACACGAGAAGAGGTTCTATGACTGTTTCTCCCTTCCTTCTGAACGTCCTCAATTGAAGAGGATAGCACATTTTGATAAAAGTAAAGTGAGTGCTCAAGATACAAACACACCAAGCTACAATATGTCGAGGTTTTTTTTAGGAGCCCGGAAAATTCTGAAAAAAATATAGAAACCCTTTCCATTGAAAACCTCGTATCTTGCCGAGCTCTTGTGGAACAGTCGAGTGCATACAGTTAATAGAGTGAGGGCCTTTTGAGAAGCCAGTGAGGAAGAGTGGGCTGAATACATTCCTAGAATCTATTTATCAAGAGCTATCAGTGCGTAAGTTGCTAAAAAAACGTGGAAACCGAGTTATTCCGGATGGGACTTTTGATGATCGTTTTTCCGTTGCCCGAGCGCTACTCGATATCCCGAAGCCGTGTCTAAGTCCGTTGATATGATCTGCTCATGATCCAACAAGTGCCTCAACTCCTCCAGCAAATCTGGCAACGTGTTGAAATTCACTCAAGATCTACACAAACTTGAGTAAACAGCTACCAGAGTTCTAACGTTGAAGTTGATGGGACTTGCCTGCACCAAGGCCTGCTGTCTACAGCGAATAAAATTTTCTTGCAGTCCGTTTCCTTTTCCACAGGTAAACAAGTTTAGGTCATGAGTCATAGCTTGCATTGCGGCTGCGCCTATGTAATGCTGAGGGTGCTCGGTTAAGGTTAAGGGCAATCAACTGTGCTGTTCTCTTTGTTCATGGAGCAGGCCCTTTATGACTATTCCACCTCGTGTTTAATAGCGGTGCGGTACCCTTCCATTCTTCTCTCCTAATGAAATCTACAAAGATATTCCTTCGCACGTACCTCCATCACGAAAGGAGCAAAGTATAAAGACGTTTCAGCAATCTCCTTTACTGTCTCGTTACCCATCACGTAAAACGGTCCGTTGCAGTAAGGAGGATAATATTTGAAAGGCCAAACGTTTTTTGAGACAAACCTGGAACATGAATAATTCAGCATCTTAAAAAAATGCAACATTTAGGGGTATCTTATAACGTGATGTGAAATGCCCCTTTGGTCCAGTAAGAATATGCGTGCTTTTTTCTCGAGCTGGCAGCTTTCTTGAACAAAGTCTACACTCAATATATTTCCCAAGAATCATCTGCAATGCGAAAATGATGAATTGGTAAGCTCTTATAGCCGAAATCCCATGCTAATTTCACTCGAGTCAGTTTTGTCTCACGAAAGAAATTGAAAAAAAANAAAAAAAACATATCGTGAAAAAACAGCTATTTCATAAGTATAGATGGTAGCTTATGGGTCTCAAAAAGGCAATAATCAATATATCATATTAACAATAAAGAATATTCAGATAGTTACCCACCACTTGTTATATGGGTCGCGGATTGGAGCAGTATTGTAATGAACAGAACAATACAAGCGACGTAGCGAACCCGGTTCCCAAATCCAGCTAGCTACTAGTCTGTCAGGATGCACAGCAACGTCGTCATCGACTTTCAGTAAAAACGGTACAGATGAGCAAAATTGCATGTGGAAAGTCATACACGCATGCACCTGAGTCATTTCCAATAACAGAACACATTTTGCAAAAAGAGGAAGTTCGTTTAGGTGATGAATTTCAGAGGGTGAACCTTTTGTACGAGATTCTCATAGGAATCTGTCAGGTCTGTGGCAATGAGGTCACCATATCTGTATTGCTCCTCCACTAGCTCTTTTAATTGCCGTGGATTGTCCCAATTTGGAATAGACAAAATGAAGAACACCACGACACGGCCTCTCTGAAACCAATAGAACATGAATGCTGTCTGTATAATTCCTATTTATACTATCTTATATTATATATCCAAAAAGAAAAAATGATTTTTTGCTGTGAAAAAGATAATCTGAAATTAAACAACCAAATCACTGTTTCGTTGTTTCGGAAAAAAGCTCTTCTACAGGATGTCTTAAATTCATGGGCGCAAAAAATAGGATCGCCCAAAGCAGAAATTGTTCATTAATTCCGATTAACTCGCTATCGATCAATCGCGTGAGTAGGTTTCCTTGCAGTATGCATAGTTAGCGAACTAATGCTTCCAATATCGTTTGAATGGTGAAGGTTCATTAAATGCCACTTGCAATCATTTGCATGCATTATGCGGAAGAGAATAGTGAAATTCTTCATAATTTCAATACTGTCACAAGGCTGTCGAACGACACAGAGAAGCGGAGCCAGTCAAAGTCAAACTGAGAAGCAGACAGAGGCTAGCGTTCCCAAAGAATGGACTATCTAAATAGTCCCGGTCATTAGTAAGACTCCGTTGGTTCCCTTTGCATGTCGATCATCATACTGGGTGCCTCATGAAACGAAAGGCAAACGAACAAGACTCAACTGGGTTGTCGATATGGAGGATGTCAAGCAGATGCTTCATAGCTATACCGGGAAGCCACTTCATTTCCAGCGTGGGGTCAAAAATGGAGAAGGTTGCTAACTCGCTAAAAAAAACACGCATGCTTCCATGGTTTTCTGTGAAGAGAAAATTCTCCACGCCAATGCGATCCACAACAAATAATGGCATTTTGCATAGAACCATCGATAGTGCAATCTTTCGAGAAAAGTTGTTGTAGGAACAGCAAAAAGATTTTTATTGTTTAGTTCCGCCCAATGTAAGTTGTCGTTGATTCAGTCGGTAAAGGCGTGAGAATTGACAAAGGTGCAGAGAGCATACTGATAGACGTACCGAAGGCTGACCCAACTCCGATTCCTCAGAACCCCGTGATCCTTTCAGATGAACGGTACTACAGCGAACAGAGCCAAGCTCGGCCAAGAGTGGTGTCGTGAGGTGACCGACTTTATTAATATGAAGGAATGGCCATCCTGCTCATCAAATTCTAAAGGCACAGCTCACGGTAATTCGAATGGCGGGAAAGCCAAAGCTTTTGCGCCCCTCGATCGATGTCACGTCAGACGAGTGTCGAGACACGACAGGTTGCAACTATTCGTTCTAAGGCCCACACACAATCAGCTGGTCGCCGAGAGATGAGGCGGTGTTTTTCTCCCATCCTTTTTTTCCCTATTATTCTTTTTGCTGCCGTGATCCCTTATTTAATTTCCTACTACTAGAGGCTGCAAAAGGTGAGCTCTTTCGCTGTTACTACGGTTTTTTTGTTTACTTTTGCTTATAAGTGAATGAATACCCGCTTACTGTAGTCTCTTATTCGCACCGGGACCCACACGTACGCAGTGAAACACATTGTATAGCTCGTCCAAANTTTTTTTTGAAGCCTTTTTCACTTTGGAAACACGGATTAACGCAGTTTCTTCACCTTCATGGCACTATTTTCGATCTTGTCTTCCATTTTTCATCATAATATGGATTACCCAAAATTATCGTGAACAGTGTCTTTGGGTCGCACGGCTCTTCCGTGTTGTCCCTGATAAAAAAGGGGCCTGTCAAGTTTGCAATCCTAGTTTGAAGTCTTCAAAAGCAAGGTTCAAGAAAAGCTTGGGAAAAGTGGAGGAGGGATGCATGCGTGCAACATACAAGGAGTTTAAGAACAGACTCTGAGTCCCTTTTCTAGCCGATGGGGGAAATCCGCAAGCGAGCTGCTTGCAATTATCAGTTATCACTTTGACACATCGAAATCCTAATGCTTTAGCCAAATGATGCTAGTAAGCGTAAAGTTGAGAAAGTGAAAAGCTAACACTTTCACTTAAAGTGAAGCTCGCCCGCGTGTCCGGATCCCGTATAGAATCGCTTGGGCGTTGAATGGGAGAGAGGCCAGTACGATAGAATCCCTGCCAAAACGAGTTTGTGCATTTATCCTCCCAGACGAGTCTAGTATAATACTACATATATCAATCATTTATGGAAAGCCGGATGGTGTGGAAGTTTATCAACCTGCCACTTCGAACTTTGACCACTCCGTCAAAGTGCGCGCTCTGCCGCTGTACCACCTTCGCCTCTATGGAACACAGCACTTCACATAAATGTAAAACAGACTGGTTCCGCTTGATGCTTCTCGAACGCTCAAAATAGTATGCGTTCCTAGATACGTACATAGCGTTTATTTGAAATTATACCGTACCTTTATTTCCTTTGAGTTCATAGGTGAAGCCCAGCTTCTTCTGATTGCTAGTCGTTTTTTGTAATCGTTTGCAACTGACAGCACTGTTACAACAATAAGTGGAATTCTGAACGAAGAGAAGACTGACTGATTCTGTTTGAAGCTTTACTTATCTCATCTCATCGAAAAAGAATGTGACGTTGCACCAACCTTCTTTCCGTTTTTTTACACAGTTCGAGATCAGGTAACATAGTAAAGTTGTACAGAAGAAAGTGTTTGGAAGTTCTTCGACGATAAAGATAGATATCGGAGAGATTAGGTTGAACATGTGAGCACCACTTCATCAATATATACAAAGCGACAATATCTTCAAACAAAAGCTCATTAGTTTTCATCGCCCTTCCTTTACATAGTAAACAATTAATTTACTTACAAAAAAGAAATATTGGTCGAGTTCTGAATGTCCTGTTGACCATAAGGACTATCCTGAAAATAAGGAGCTCGGAAATTCGCAATGATGTATTAACATGTTTCAAAAGAGGTTTCTTCTTATCTCCACTCGGGACCAAACCCACACCTCAGGCACATACTATTCGCCCGTGCCCGTCTGTGCTAAGGTGGACCACTCTCTTTTGCCGCTTCCCATTACTGGACTTCTTGGTTCCCAACCCTCAGGTTGATCTGTCCTTTTGACAAGAACTGATCAAGTAGATTGATTGAATTGATTTTAATAATTCGACAAGGTTTCCGTTCATGTGTTCGTTCGTAGATTCGAGTCCCGTTCTCGATCGTTCCTTTAGATCTTCGATGAAATCTTTCCCAAGTACGTGAACTGGCTTACCGTGGGACTTCTATATCTACTCCTCGTTTCATTCATCTAAGTTAAGACACTGAAATAAATCCTCTCAATCATTACCAGTTTTACGATATATTATACATGCTACGGTACGCACATTTAAATTTAACACGGTGAAAATTTGGCATCGATTTAAAATGTTAGCATTTGAATTTAGGATTGCTCTCAACAATTTGTACAGTACATACGAGCAGTACGGTACGTGTAAACTATTATGCATGAGAGGGGGAGGACTTTAGATGCCCCTAACAATATTTCCCCACTTTCCGTTGGCTACCCAACATATAGTTCCTGTCGACGAAGAAGCACGACAGCAGTTCTGAAATGGGAACTCCTACCTGTCCCAGTGTTGCAGTCAAGTGCAGAGAGACCTCAGACAGCTGCTTTGCCCATCAGGCCGAGTGGGAAATCTGACTTTACTTCATTCACCATCATGCTCGGTTAACATGGTGAAGGAATTCATGAAGATGGAAAGCTTTTCCAAAACACTCCCTCTACATCCATCGAATAACAATGACTTTACTTAGATTAATTGCCATACATTTCAGTCTCTAGGCCCTGCAATTTTAGGCCGAGAAAGGCATCTCTAAACCCAAGATTTTTTCCGGTGAGAAAATTTTTATGTGATTGCTATTGATACAATTTCTCGCAATGGAAAGCATCGAAAAACTTTTCATGCATTCAGGGTATTTGCGGCACGCAATGTTGGCACCGTTATTCGGTGAATTATCGGAGAAAATAAACGATAAGAATTATGCACTAAAAAAGAAGACATATCAATATTAAAGGATTTGAGAACAGCAAAAAAATTTACTGCGAATCGACTAAAACGAAATAAGTAATAGTGATGATGACTGACAAGTGTATAGAAGAATATAAATCTGCTCAAAAATGCAACTAACATTATTAAAAAGCTATTTTGCACCAGTGGAACAGCTCTTACATTGCAAAAATCCATAATTCCCGAAGTACATGCGAACGACACCGTTTCCTGGTATCAGGGTTTTGGATCAGCGTTTTTTTTTTCTTGTGCACTGTTCCCTTGTAGGACAAGGATACTCGGCGCCGTTCCGATTCGTTCCCACCTTGACGGGTTGACGTTCCCGATAGACATCTTGTTTCAAAAGTTGAAAATGATTCTTTACTCAGTACATGTCATCATTATTTTCTTCAAAAATAAGAAAAATTACAATCTTTTACTACTATGTGAAATCCAGTAACTTATCATGAATCTCAGAATCCACTACAAAAAGATATATGTGAAACTAAAAAGGACAAAGCCTTTGGGCGTGAATCGATCCCGTCTAAAGTAAGCGCCTCGCACTCTACCTCCACTCGGCTGATAGTGGCGTGTTGATGCGTCTGTGGCTCATACAGTGTTTTGCGGTGGCCACCCGATGCACGAGTTGGTGCTTTTATCCTTCCAGACAAGTCTGGTCCCAGTTAACGAACCCTGGAGGAAAGGAAGGCTTGTTTGGCCCAAGCTGATATCGATCCGGGATTCGTACTTGTGATCATGCTCGCTGCTCCCGGATTTTAGGAGCTGCGATAAGACAGTGCGCCACTTGCCCCTTCACCACGTCCGCCCATGTGGAATTACTCAACGGGACTTACTAATACCTATGGTGCAAGGCCTCCCATTATAGGAACAAAGTAGCGATTGTTCATGTGTAGGTTTAAAATTGTCAAAATAGAACTCGAGAATAGCAGAGTACTGTGGCTTCCAGATCAGAAGCTAGAAGAACTCAAAGAATAAAGCTAATCTCAGCTCCACTAGAGTAACTTACTCATCCTTTTCTTGCTGAAAGGGCAAAACGATATTATTTGTGAAAATATGAGCGTAACGATACCTTCGCTTTATCAGCAACATCGTGCCGCGGGTACCTGAACCTCGAATAGAGAAGGCAGCCGTTCGGAAGACTTCCAGCTCCATTCAGCTTATTTACATGGACTGAGTCCTCAAACCGGTCCTTATCAAGTTGGAACAATGTTTTAGCAAAAACAGACCCTCCGAATCAAGATTTGTTCGGGTTCTGTCCGATCGTCACCCATTTCTTTCTCGAATTTTTCGACAATCGGGTCTGACTAATAATGATCCCTCTCTTCTCAAAAGCAAAGATCTTACCAGTTAGAACAAAGCTTAACGTAATCTCGTCCATCGCTTCTTTTTGCTTTCTTTCTTCTAGCTGATTTGTGCCGACTCGTTATAAATCGGCGAGAAGTTTCAAAATGCTTCAAATCTGAGGATGATGCCATACCATCCCTAAGGTAATGACGTATCACCCTTACCACGAGTGTTATGAGGAGGTTGAACTCAATATGGATACTTATCCGTGCTAACCTATCCTTTCACGCTCACAAGGGTGCTTGACTAGAACCGGATTCTCCCAAGCGAACATCAGCTCTGTATTTTATATCGGCTGGCCCTGCAGTTGCATAGGCCCTTTATACTTCTTAAAACGCCTTTGACTTTTCCGTAGGATCAATCAACGACTTGAAGTTACTTCTCCGATCCCATCACTTGCTAATTACATGAACTATTACACAGTACATTAGTTGAACATTCCCAGCCCTTCTCCTGCCGACAGATGCATCAAGTACAATAGCAGACTTGAAGGAGAAGTTGACGAAATTTTGAAGGTGCTCATTAAAGTGAAGAAGCGCGTCCTTCCCAACTGACAACGAAGGCATCACAAGAAAACTAATCCAGTGCGTACCGAAATTCCTACAGTAATATCATTCGCCAAATAATTACTGGAATATCTTGCTACAGATACGTGCTATTTTACGGCTTATATTAATGTAACGAGCAAATGAAGACCTGTATGTACATATTTATATCAAAATTATGATATTGCGAGAATATCCTAAGGACTACAATCTTTTCGCAAAAGAATCAAGTAAAAGAGTATAATTTGTCAATTCAGGTAGTGAATGGACGAATTCTAGTAAAGATCTACGTATTAGGAATACCGTATGTGGGTTAAAGGCACCGTTCACAAAAAAGTTANTAATAATGATCCCTCTCTTCTCAAAAGCAAAGATCTTACCAGTTAGAACAAAGCTTAACGTAATCTCGTCCATCGCATCTNAATTACAAAGAGTCAAAAAAAAGAGCTGGAAAGGAGGGTTGGACGAGTTTCACATTGAAATAACGGCGGTCAGGGAGTGTTTGGGCGAGTGCACGAAGGCGACGCAATGTGTTGTCTGCAATAGCAGACAACACATTGCGTCTCTGGCAATTTGCCAACCAGCGTATCGATTTTGCACCAACTTCGCTCCAGTGCGAATTTGGTGAAGGACAATTAGAACTCGTAGTCAGCCTAGCAAGGGGCGGAGGTCTCCCGCCCCCCACTGTTCCTGCCCTTATTGTGCCTTATCCAGCCGTTTTCCGACCTCAATCCTGCACAAATGGTATCAGAGGGGCTTCGAATTCAACCCGTGTGCAAATCTCCGAAACCACTTTTTCGTAAACAGTGCCTCTAAGTAACAAAGATAATTGGGAAAGAACAACATGAGAAACAACAACGATCCATTACATTTGAAATAAATTTTGCGACAACTTATTTACAATTTAAAGGCAAAATCCGCTCATAGGGTAGGAATTAGAGGTGGCAGTTATTAACGAGTTGGCTAAAAGTTCCCATTGAGGTCACCTGATGACCTCGAAGGATCGTCCTACTGGGAGAGGGCCTTCTTGGGCGGTGACCTCACTGGGAGCTCTTGACCCTCATCCCACCTATCAGTGCCATACCAGCATTAGGGTGTGCCTTGGTTTTCCAAGTTTGCGGGTGAATCCTTGAAATGGCATTCATAGCTCTTCAGAATCTGGAATCCTTCCCGCAATAGTTCAGGCCGCGGAAGCGAATGTACCGAAAACGTAATTGGCTTTTCTGTTGCACTGCATCTGAATCGTTTCCGAGAAAGTTCCTAAATGAAGTAATAAGTTTGGGAAATTCGAATAGCTGTAACTGGTTGGAGGAAAACTCTTTCATGTACGTTCAAACTGCAATTGCTACTCATGTACCTTGGTTGTGTGAATAATATTTTTTGCCCAATTTATTCGTCGAACACCAGTAGAGTCGATCAAAATTCCGGTATAGAAAAGGTCCTGAATTACAATTGTTTCTTGTACTTAAAAGAAGAGAAAGATCTACAAGAATCAGATACTGCTGTCAAGTTGAAAACACTCTAATGAGACTGAGATGTGGCCTCGAGGTTCTGCGCCTCATTCCCGTGACTCATGGAGGCAGGAAGAGCGAAACCAAAAAAACCACTTTCCTACTTGTGTTCTAGCTTCAGGAACAAAAGCGAACCTAGCCATTTATGCCTTATACCCCTGCTGGGTCGCTTTTTCGTGCTGAACTTGTCTGGGGTATAGAGCTTCGCCATTTGCTGACCCTTTTGATCGTTGTGCAGGGCGAGCAGTATTCGAGCACCACATAGAACGTGCGTAGTGGGTCTATATCAAATGGGATCGTTCAAGCGTGAACTAACTCTTAAGTGGTACTTTGTGATCTATTCCGCCTTACTACCTCAGTAGTACTTACTGCCTTCTGTTCTCGAAGGAAGCTCTCAGAAAACGCACTGGACGGGTATCTAGGAACTGGTGAGGCCTTGCTTTTTTTTTGAGAGCAGGTTGAGCTTAGTGTAAACGAATATGATTACCCCAATCCCCTGCTCAAAGTTTGTTAAAGTACTAAGTCGCAGAGCGAAACTGCTTAGGAGCTAAAAATGGACAGTAGTAGGGGAAACAGAAGCAAAGATTCCAAAAGCGGCACGATTCAATTATATAGAGTATAACACGGAGCTGAAGAAGTTAAAGGCTAAGGGGGTTAGCGATAATGTGTGGAGAGCCTCACCTCTATCGTCATCGGTATAAAGATCTGCGCCTGATCGAGAATAACTTGCCCAGCTGCCTTTCCGACTATGTACATTGGACCGTTACAGTACTGAGGGAAGAAACGTTCCGGCCACATTTGTTTTGGCACAAACCTAAAAGGACGATTCACATTCATTAAAAATTTGTCTATGAAATGTTGAGGAGCTTAAGTGAGTGTGTGTAATCCCTTGAGAGATTCTCTTTCGAAGAAAAATTTTCTTTACGATCTTGAGTCCTATGTTGCTGATCCTGTAATAATAGATTCAAATTCTTACCACAAATGCAGTGAATTTGGATTGTGTCTAATCACCCCTCTGGCCGTATCTCCTTCTTGTTTCAGATAACATCCTTACCCATAACATAATAGTAAGGAGTTCTGCTTCTCCACTATGTATGTAAGTGGGCACACTACGAGTGTATTTAGATGAATAAATGATTAAATAAATAAAATCAATGACAAGTTGCGATTCATGAAAAACAGGAAAATGATCTGCTCGAAAGTCTGCAATTGTGACACAGGAATTTAAACATACCATTTATTTCCTGGCTTTCGCTGAGGTAACGATTTGGACCAAACTCGGCAGTAGAGCGACATATCCGCTTTGTTATCAATTTTCCATAAATCTATCATACGATCAAAATGAACAGCAACATCGTCGTCAATTTTCATTAGAAATTTCGCCTTCGGACAGTACTGTTGATGGAAAACTATCGAAGCGTACACCTTAAAAAATTTTTTGAGAACTCTAAAAGTTTTCTGTTTCTATAACATCAATGGAGTAGCTGGTGTAGCAGCAAATGGCGCTTTATTACATGTGGGCAAGACCCGGGGATCGATACTCGCCCAGGAAAAGGTCGGTTAGCTATAGTAAGACTCAGAATAAAAACGCATTTAGAGCTCTTACGATCCCGAATAGAAGTTAGATGCAGGAGACATCTTAAAAACGGGATCGTTCAGCGCCAAAGGCCTTATCTTATATAACATCAACGATGTGAAGGCGTGTCAGTGCCTTAAGCTGTCACTAAGGTTGAAGTCCGATGATCATATCCATAGGTGTGTGGGGGTGAAAAAGCCCTCATCTGAACGTTGCTACTTTTCCAAGAAGTTTAACAAAAAGACCTGATCTGATGCCGCCAGGATGCTAAATGAATGTTAAGTGAGTTGGCTGTTTCCAAAACGAATTCTCCGAGTCCTAAGGCGAAAAAAAATAAATAGATTGTTTACATAATTGATGTACGAGCTACCTTAAAGACAAGGTTATCGTAGGCTTCTGGTAAGTTTGTCACTATCAAGTCATTGTATTTTCTCTGCTCCTTGCGTAGCATATACAAGTCATGCACCGTGGTTGGTGCAGAGAGGATAAAATAGACCAGCACTCGTCCTTTCTAAAAGTTTTTGAAAATTACAAGCTCTATAAAAAATTCAAGATGCAGTTCAACTACAGTATAGGGTTTGATGTAGAAGAGATGGTATGGAAAACAGTGTTTGAGCACACATAAGTAATAAAGACTAGCACCTGAACTGCTCAAAAGAATTTGCAAAGTTTGTCAGGTTTCATTCAAAATTACTTCGTAAGTATTCCTTCTTTTAATTGTTGGTAAATTCTGTATTTCAATTACATGACAGTAACAGCCAACCTACTTTGACGGAACGGGATTCCTTCGGTGATGCCCAGGTTTCTCGAATAGCTTGTCGCATCTCAGATCGTTCTATGGTAGATAGCACAGTAGCAACTAACAGCGGAGTACTGAAAAAGCCTGGTTAAAAGTCGGCTTACAGAGTCATGTACAGCTATTTTTAGTTATAGGAGCAGTCATTCGGGAATTTGGAAAAAGAGCCCCTCTGCCAACCCAACCAAAGATCTCCTTCGAGGGTGGACTCGAAAAAGCTCTACCAAATGTTTTTCTCCGACTCCTAGAACCCTAGAGTTCTTCCTTTTCAGACTATATCTGGTTTCTTATCATATTCAGGAGTAACCTAAAAACTTACTGGTTCCGGGAGCCATCGCATAAGGAGAGATCAGGCAATAGAATGTACTTGTAATCGAGAGAGAAGTTAGCAAAGCTCATCTCATGAACGACAGGCCCTTTCAGGGTGCTTGGCTTCATTGATGCCGGTGAAATCATGAGTTCAAGCAGAAGGAAGCAATCTAAAAATGTAATTCAGACAAAGGAATTTGAAGATATCTGAGACTATGAAAAACTAAAAATCTAGTAAAATAGTAGGAACCGATGAGCAAGAAGAATATCGTTGCTCGGCATACTTTCTGATGGATGCTTGTGCAAAGATATTTCTTGAAAACCTACAAATTATCAGAACTATCGATGCTATCTTCTTCACTAGCGACACTCTCACCGGCATCTCCATCGACGACGGGCCATCAGGAGTGTTGTTGGAGTTCGTAGAAAGCTTTGTGGAAACTTCTGTCCTGTAGAAATTGGGCGAATGAGAGAAAAGTATCAAGTTCATGTCTCTGAAGAATACTACAGAAACTCGTACTTCATAGGTCATTCAAGCGTCCAATGTTATAAGAAAAGCCTAGATATAATGAAAAATATCAATCAATAACTAGCTACACATTACTAATCAAGTTTACGGATCTGTGATTAGAAAAAATTGCATCACCAGTATTTTTATGTATGGGGATTTGACATTCAGCGAGTAAAACGCTAGCCTAAGTAGTGATGAAGCCAAATGAGCAGAAAGCAGATTAGGCATTCCTCTTGCCCATGACAACCAGGTATTCCATGCAGGGATATACTGACCTGCTTTGTTTTCGAGCATCATGTTAGCAACAATGTATTCATGAGTTCCTTAAAAGCTTAATACGCGATGACATGGTGTATGATTGTTGAGTTTAGGAATGGGTACATTAACGCTGAACAGTGATCCACTGGCGGGAAGAATGCTATGAAAGGAGGAAACGAAAGATTAGGTCTCAAAAGCGTGGCGAGCTATTGGTAACACGCTGAATAGCAGGTAGGACTAGTGCCAAAAGAAATTTGGACCCACTTACACTGTTCTAGAGGATAGCAACTTGGGATATGCCGACGGAATTGGTGCTTGGACAAGCTACCAGTTAGAGCCTACTGCGAAAAAGATTATGGCACCCTTGCTTCTACTTCTATCAAACGCCCTCCATGATACTTGTTTCCAGCACATTCCACAATATGATATCACCCTTGGAAGCCTGCCCCCCGAGAGACGGGCAGTAGGATTGGTTTTGTGTAATCGATCCGCCGCACGCGGCTGTCGCGGACCATTCGCCTCATTATAACTGTCCTAGTACTCATCACACAGCTTAGTCGCTATGCAATCATTACTTTTGGCATGACTCTACTGTTAGTTCATCTGTTCCTGTATTTCTTACTCGCTGCTGCATCCTGCTACATTCCTTCGCGCGCGACTTCCCTCTCACCGCGACGCGACAATTTCGTTCCTACTGCACCACACCCCTACTCCCCAAGCCACTCAGCAGGCTTCCTCGATAGTCAAGGCTCTTCAACAAAGTTTGAATTTTGATCTGGGCTGATATCGAAAATGATAATATTTCTGATGGGATCCCAAACCACTGAGTAGAAACGCATACATGCACTAGAAGTGCTTTACTTCATCCCGAGTAGTTTCTATCGTTGAGGATATTCATGTATCATCAGTATTCCGACGACTCGTTAGTGATGACCGGTAACTCCAGAATCGTTCCTCCAATGAAACATAGTCCGATGGATCTCTCTGTATAGAAAAATACATAGCACATCAATCCTTTTAAAGCTTCTATGAAGAAGACTGACCATCAGGATGGAAGCTGCCTCGGCGTTCACTTGTCGTCCCGAGAGATCAACTTGGCAGCCCCTCCGGTCCAATGGCTCGCACACAATTGCATGCCATGCGCCAAACGGTCTTTGATTCCTTGGCATGCGCGGTCCCTAATCTTCGCTCGTTTACGAGCTCGAACTTTTCTAACGCTCTTCTGCATTTTCGTTCATCGAAAGCTCCTATCAATGCCTTCTCCTAAGCGCTGCTCATGCTCCCTCGACACGGTCCGAAAATGTAGGAAGCTGGTGAAGACGGAAAGATTGCAGAATTGGCAAGATGGCTGGCGGTCAGATTCACTTTGCCTACTTAACTACTCCCCTAAATATCCTGAACGTCTCATGTGACTCGTTTTGCTGTACTCAGCCATGGAGTTAGATCTTAGCTTAGCCACATTCAGCCGCCGGGACCAGCTATAAACGATCTGCTTGATGGGAAAGAGCATCAGAATCAAGTCCGCTCTCAGAAGTATTGTTTTCGTTGAAGTTAGTTGTTCATAACTGCTGCCAAAATCGGCGAGCATTCGCTCCTCGTGAGTGCTACACTGGGGAGACATTCTCTTGACAATAATTACTTATAATGGAAATAAGTAGAAGCTGATTGGTATTATAGTCAAGTGACGTGAGTGTGGCGGAGGTGGTGTAGTCGCAAGTGACTCACTTTTGCAAATGCAATGTCACAGGTTCAAATGGCTTCAAATACCGGATCTATATCCGCCTAGGCTAACTACTAGATCTTTTGGGGCGGTTAACTGGTACCAGACTTGTCTGAGAGGATTGAAGCACTGACTTGTACATTAGCTGGATATCGCAACCCAAGTATAGGCCAAATACGCCGCCGAAACGTCTCTATAAAAAAACGAAAAAAAACCTCAAAACCTAAATGGAAGGCGAATGCAGAGGTACACCGCTAAGACGGGATTGAATAATGCCGAAAGACTTCAAGATTTATTTCGACGTGAGCTTTTAAAATTTATAAAAAATCAATTGGAAGAACCAATCAAATAAATATGCGGGTGTATGTCGATCGTAATACTAGTTACACGGTTAGGACATCTGGAGGGATAAACCTACGCGAAACCAGTAAATCTATCATAATCCTCTTCCACATTAGCTGGGAACTCGTTGAAATTTTTGTGTTAGACTCCTTATGTGTCTCGAATTTAACGTTGTCGGTTCTGGTTCCCTGGGTAAAGTAATAGAGTTTATCGAAGGAAGGAATGTGATTCAATTAGGCCTCATGCTCTCGGTCTTTTCATGGAATACGTGACGACACTACAAATCATCTTCCGGATACATGCACCGACGAACATAAAACCAGGCTGATGGCTGATGCAAACACGATTTCAGCTAATGAACCAGAGGAAGGATGGCCAGTGTTCTTGACAAAGTAGTTATAGGCTGTTCTATTGATTAGTTCTAGGAACAGCACCCTTGTAACCGTTTTCGGTACTTTTGAAACGTCTACAAAATGCGGCGAGACCACTTTCAGCAAATTTCAAACCTTCTCTAAAACATTTTAGGAGATCGCTGAAGATGCCGCTATTGTTCCAGGCATATGCCATAGCCCTTTATAGAAGTCTAACGGTAAAAGATGTAAGTCTTGAATCAATCCCATCCGATGAATGCGCCCCGCATTCGGCATCCATTCAGAATCGTAATGGCGGATTGAATGCGTATGTGACCTATACAGTAATCTGCCGCTGCTAGCCGATGTACAAGAAAGGGCTTTTATAATCCCAGACGGGTGTGGTACCAATTAGCCGACCCTGGGGGAAGGAAGGTCCGATTTTTCTCGGTTGGCCTAGGCGGATATCCCGATTTGAACCCATGACCAGTGTGAAGCGCGCCACGTGCCACTACACCACCTCCACCCATGATAATAATGTTACAGTAATAATAATAATAATAGTAATAAGAGTAGTAATAATAGCAAGGATAATAGTAGTAACGATAACAGCAATAGCCGTTACAATTCCGGTAATCGGACGGAGATGGTGTAGAGGGAAGTGGCCCATCATCACACAAGCACGGTCCAGTGATTGATTCTGGGTGAACACCGGCTTCAGCAACTGACCTTCCAACCCTCAGGGGCCTGGGTGGGTAAAGCCATCGCAATTCATTGTATAGGCCACATATGCACTCAATACACCATTACGGTTCTGAATGGATGTCAAATGAGGGGACCCATAACTTGAACGGGGTTGATTGATGTCAAAGACCCTTACTTCCCCCTTTACTTCACTTTTAATAATCATCATAGTAATCATAATTTTGATAATGATAGTGGAAATAATAGTGGAAAATGGTAATAATGGTAAATAAAAATAATAATAGCGAGGGTCAAGAGGTTGTGGATCGGACGCTATAAACTAAGCAGCATTTTCTTTCCCTTCCTTCCGAACAAGTCTATGATGAAATGATGGTGCTCCCAAAAAAGCACCAGAGTCCCTTTCGAGCCATAAATTCCTGCCGTCTGTCTGATGGTTATATTCCCAAGTTTTTGGACTACACGTGGGAACCATTCCAAGATGAATGACCCTTTTTTGTTACCATCTGTTGCCAGCATAGAAATCTCGCCTATCGAGCCTTAAACGACCTATTATAGCCTATCACAACTCTCATAGCTGGGTTGTCTCTACTTCATCCATCGACTGTTTCCTTTTTCTTGTTTTCATTCCAGTGACATTTCTTTCGAATATTATAAATAGGAGGTATTATAGGGGCGGAAGTGGTGTAGTGGCAAGTGGCGCACTATATCATACGCACGGTCAGGGGCTCGAATCCCTGATCGATGCCCGCC